CATATGAGTAGAATGTTCCATGGGAAATTAGAGTAATATAGTATAGAAACTTGGTAAAGACTTGAAAATTGGCAGATGTATAATAGTTGAAGTCTTGAGAAAGGATAAATTCAAAAGAATGATGATATGGTTTGGCTGTGTCCCCATCCAAATCTCATCGTGAATTGTAGCTCCCATAATTCCCACATTTCATGGGAGGGACCAGGTAGAGATAATTGAATCATGGGGGCAGTTTCTCCTTTACTGTTCTTATGGTAGTGAATAAGTCTCATGAGATCTGATGGTTTTATACATGGGAGTTCCCCTGCACAAGCTCTCTTGCCTGCCACCACGTAAGATGTGACTTTGCTCCTCCTTCACCTTCTGCCATGATTGTGAGGCCTCCCCAGCCATGTGGAACTGTGAGTCAATTAAACTTCTTTCCTTTATAAATTACCCAGTCTCAAGTATGTCTTTATTAGCAGCTTGAGAACAGACTAACACAAATGGCAAGTGTGAAGTTGAAGCCTATGGAATTGCTAGCTCTTGGCTATTTTGACCAACAAAAATAGTGGTTTCATATAGATCAAGCGGGGCTCAAGATTGTGCTTCAGGGAAAAATGAGAGGTTGAGGTCAGGAGGGAGAGGGACTGCTTGGTAGACAGACATTAAACAGGGATTGGAGAATATTTAGATCACACCCTTTTACATTATTCATTTATAACTGGTAATTCAAAAAGAGATTTTTATCCACCAGCATTACCACCTGCAGACAACAGAATCCTACATGAAGGGAATTTTTCTTTACTCTGCTTCTGAAGGTTCAATAATTTGGGTCTATAGAACAAATGGACAATAGACAAATTAATAGGAGAAAAAGCATATAAATTATTTACATGCAAATGCACAGAAACCATACAAAATGTGAGACTCAAAGAAGAGCCAGATGACTGAGGTTCTTATACCATATGGAAAGGAATAGGAGCTTGGGGCTCCTGAGGGTAGGTGGTGACAGATTATGGGAGGGTAAGGGGAAGGAAGGCAAGTCAAGCAAAGCCTGTCTTACTATGCAGATGAAATCTCTCAAGTAGCAGTCCTGAGAACAAAATAGATGGTAGCCTGTGGTAAAGGTTTCTCTGTCAGACCTTTTTTTTTTCCCATTTATTTATTTTATTGCATTTTAGGTTTTGGGGTACATGTGAAGAACATGCATGATTGTTGCATAGGTACACACGTGGCAGTGTGATTTGCTGCCTTCCTCCCCATCACCTACATCTGTCATCTCTCTGCTTGCTATCTCTCCCCAGCTCCCCACCCCCCACCGTCCCTCCCCTATTTCCCCCCAGCTGACCCCAGTGTGTAGTGCTCCCCTCCCTGTGTCCATGTGTTCTCATTTTAAAGTGTCAGGCTGGACATGGTGGCTCATGCCTGTAATCCCACTGCTTTAGGAGGCTGAGGTGGGAGGATTGCCTGAAGCCAGAGGTTCAAGACCAGCCTGGGCAAATAGCAAGACTCCATCTCTAAAAAATTTAAAAGAAAATTAGCTGGGCTTGGTGCCATGTGCTTGTAATCCAAGTTACTCAGGAAGCTGAGGTGGGAGGATCACTTGAGCCTAGGAGTTTGAGGTTGCAGTGAGCCATGATCATGGCACTGCATTCTAGCCTGGGTAACAGAGTGAGACCCTAACTAAAATAAATAAATAAATAAACAAAATATAATAGTGTCAGGCCATCAGTCCCATTTTCCTGTGAGTTACTGTTTCCTAGCTATGGATAAGAGAACCTCAGGAAAGCCTGTGCCTGAATCTCCTGTTTGCTTTACTAATGTACATAGATGTAAATCTCTTTTACAAGAGGATAGCTTTTCAGAGCTATTCCCATCTGCAGCTTTTCTGAATAACCAACTTGAAATATGCCAAAGAAGTATATTTTGGGGTGGCATATTTTGGTTTCCCACACCACTCCAGCTAATTTAAGGAAGAGGGATTTGCTAGAAATGTACCAAATTGTTGAAACGGCTAGAGGAATAAGCTATAGGCTGGGGTTACAGCAACAACTTTCCAGCTCACGCCACAGAACTAGAATGGCAAGGGAGATATGGCTGCCTCTGACTTCTGTATGAGGCTTCCTTCACTCTGGTCAGGAAACCACCCTCACCCTCACCAAGCCCTGAATCACACTGCCTCTGCCACGGTCAAGAAGCTGTTGTTGCCACTCCTTCAGAAATATGCTACTTCCAATTCCCCCCAGCTTCAACAAAATGGATGCCCAAATTCCCTGTCTGTTTCTTCATAGGTCATCTCTAAAAACTAGAGGCAGAGGCAAAATATGTCTTTTGTCTTACGTCACAATACCATAACCTTCCTCTCTTTATACGTATAATTGCCTTAAGTATTTCCTCTGCATATACTAAGCACTACAATAGATATTATAATTTTTGCCTCAATTGTCAAATATGAGCTAAGAAACTCATAAGGAGAATATAGAAGAATATTATATATTTTTTTATTTTTATTTTTTTATTTTTCTTTTTGAGACAGAGTTTTGCTCATTACCCAGGCTGGAGCGCAATGGCACGATCTCGGCTCACCGCAACCTCTGCCTCCTGGGTTCAAGCAATTCTCCTGCCTCAGCCTCCCGAGTACCTGGGACTACAGGTGTGTACCACCATGCCCAGCTAATTTTTGTATTTTTAGTAGAGACGGGATTTAACCATGTTGACCAGGATGGTCTCGATCTCTTGACCTCGTGATCCACCTGTCTCAGCCTCCCAAAGTTCTGGGATTATAGGCGTGAGCCTCCGTGCCCGGCCCATATTTTTTTATTTTTATTCATTTTATTGTTCTTTCTTTTCTGAACTTCAAGCTTTCTTTTAGCTTTTCTTTTCTCTTTGGAGATCTTCTTTTAGGCAGATTTTTTTTTTTTTTTTTTTTTTTCGGGGCGGAGTCTTGCTCTGTTGCCCAGGCTGGAGTGCAGTGGCACAATCTCGGCTCACTGCAACGTCCGCCTCCCAGGTTCAAGCAATTCTCCTGCCTCAGCTTCCCAAGTAGCTGGGACTACATGTGCGCACCACTACGCCCATCTAAATTTTGTATTTTTAGTAGAGAGGGGGTTTCACCATGTTGGCCCGGATGGTCTTGATCTCTTGACTTTGTGATCCGCCCGCCTTGACCTCACAAAGTGCTGGAATTACAGATGTGAGCCACTGCACCTGGCCTCCTTTAGTCTTTCTTTAAGGGTAGATCTGCTGGCCACACATTCTCTTATTTGTCCTTCATTCTTAAAATACAGCTTCACTATATGTAGAATTCATGGTTGACAGTTCTTCTCTTTCAGCACTTGCAAAATGTTGAGCCACTTCCTTCTGGCCTCCCTGGTTTCAGATGAAAAATCTGTTCTCATTCAAATTGGTGTCTGCCTATAGATAATGCATTCCTACATGGTTGCTCTTAAGATTTTTTTCTTTCATATTCAGAAGTTTAATTATGAAGTGTTCTGGTGAGGATTTCTATTGATAGGTCTTATTTGGAGTTCACTCAGCCTTGTAAATCTGTAGGTTTCTGTCTTTCACCAAATGTGGGAAGCTTTCAGCCCTTGTATTTTGAATACTTGCTTAGCCTTCAAATCTTTCTGGAGTCTTTCTGAGACTCTGAAACCATGAATGTTAGATCTTCAGTTATCGTCTCCTGTTTCTTCCTTCCCACCCCCCACCTCATCTCTCTTCTCCCTGCTGATCAAGTGGAACAAATTCAATAGAGCTGTCCTCAAGGTCAGTGACTTTATCTTCTGTCATCTCCACGCTACCACTGGGCCTACCCAGTGAGTTGTTAAAACATGTTGCTGCTGCACTTTACAATTCTGTGATTTCCATTTGGTTCTTTGCTGAGGTTTTCTATTTTTTCATATGTTTCGGAAGATTTTATAATTGCTTACTGAAACTACACGATGGTAGTTGCTTTAAAATCTTTGCCAGATAGTTCCACCCACGGATTCATCTCACTATCAATGTCAGCTGATTGCCTTTTCTTGCCCCACTTGTGATTTTCCTGGTTCTTGGTATGACAAGTCATTTTCAATTGTATCCTGGACATTTTGCACAGTATGTTACGAGACTCTTGATTCTATATAGATCCTCTATTTTAGTAGGCAGCCGCCCTGTTTAGGTTTATCGTGTCAGTTTTGCCTACTTTCGTGGGCTGTAGTTATAATGACAGTTGCATTTTCTGAGCCTTCGCAATGCTATTCTGGTCTGCTTTGTTCTTGTGACTCTGCTTAAGCTCCCACTGGGTTGTTACATATGGTGCCTACAGAGGCAGAAGGCACTTCTCTAGGTTGACTGGTGGCATTGTGTGGGTGTAGGGGATGCCCCAGGTCACCTTCTGCTTCTGCATGAATGGCGGAAAGATACCAGGGCTGCTGGCACTGCCTGTGCAAGTGAAGGAGCCTACCTGCTGTTGCCTGGCGTGGAGCACTAGATGACCCGGCCTGCATGGCTTTCACTGTTACCACTGATACGAGCAGATGGAGCCCACTGCTGCTGGTGGGGATGGGTGTGAAGTGCGTTGGCCCATTTTGATTCTTCTGTTGCCACTGCTGCAGGCATAGTGGCCTGCTGCGGTCTGTGGCTGTGGAGTAGGAGAGTGGTTGGAAACTCATTTCTGCTGGTGCTAGTGCTGTGAGTGGATTGGGTCCACTGCTGTCACTGGGTGTGGGTCTCCCGACTGGGTTCTCCTTTTCTGGTCCCTTAGCCAGAGGGAGAAGCCTTCTGAATGTGTGTATGTGTGTGTGTCTGTATTTTGCCTGCCTGCCTTTCTCCCTCCCTCTGTTTCCTTCCTTCCTCCCTTCCCTTCCCTTCCCCCTTCTCTTTCCTTCCCTTTCTCCTTCCCTTCCCTTTCTCCTTCCCTTCCCTTCCTCCTTCCCTTTCTCCTTCCCTTTCTCCTTCCTTTCCATTCCCTTTTTCCCTCCCTTCCTTTCCCTTCCCTTTCTCCTTCCCTTCCCTTTCTCCTTTTCTTCCCTTCCCTTTCTCCTTCCCTTCCCTTCCTCCTTCCTTCCCTTCCTCCTTCCTTCCCTCTCTTGCTCTCTCCAGTGGCTCTCTGGTTTCAGGCTGACTTGTGCCCAGGATACATAGAAGATAAAGAAAACCCAGGGAACCCACTGTTGTGTAATCTTCGAGTCTCGAGTCCCTAGTCCGTCCATCTTCTTTCTGCTGTTCAGAGTCCTTTTATGATTGCTGAATTATTTCCATAGTACTTGGTTGTGTTTAAAGAGAAGAAGCCAGAAAAAGTGAGTTTATATCATCTTCTCCTGAAACTGGAAGTTGCCTCAGGATTTTGAGCAAACGCTTGTTGGTTTAAGCCAGGGGTTCCCAACCTAGTTCTTTCCTGTCTCCAAATTCCAGCAGCTTCGTGCGTCTTGGCTATAGGTCTAGAAGATGGGACCAAAGGGGAGAGGAGAAGCTGAACAGAAGTAAACTATGATTAAATCAAGTTTTAAAAAGTGCATGGATATGTGTGTGTGTACAATTTTTTTAAAATGATGGAGACCTCTAAATATATATTGAAAAAGAGAGAGGGAAAAGGAGAGAGCTTGAGGACATAATAATAAGGGAAATAATGTGAAAATCAGGGCAGGGTTAGGCAATTTTGGATCCAGGGATTCCAACCAGAGCAACTGACAACTGCACACCTGACATCCTAATGGTTCTCACGCCTTCTAGGGAGACAATGTGACAAGAATTAATCAGGATCCCGGGAGGAGCTTGTAAGGGCAACCAAAAAGGTCCCCCAGTTTGAATAAACATGAATTACATTCTCATGAAATAATAATGTGTGCTTAAGGCATCTGACATGAAGCTGGAAATGCTGAAGGAAGCAGAGAAAATAACAGAGGGCAGGAACGCTAAACTGTGTGCCTTCATCAGTGCACCGCCTACTGAAACAGCAGATGGAAAGGATTCCCTTGGGAGGATTTGGAGAACTCTTGGTTCTGTTGCTGGTAAAACTGCTATCTCTGATGCACAGCTTTCAGGATCTAAGAAAAAGGCAATGAGAGAATAAGGCCTTTGGGTGTCAAACAATCAGACGGGCCTGGTCTCGTCCACAATCATATTTGCCGAGAGAATCATCTATCCCAAACGGGCTATCATTCAGATGGCCTTAATATGTTCTTCTCTGACTGTGACCTTGCTCATGAGGACTGAGTTCTCAGATACACAGGGAAGGTGATTTTCCACTAGAGAAGCAAGCAGAGAGACAGCCATGCACTGTGAAGTGACCTGAGAGGATGGGAATGGAGAGGGGAAAAGGAATAAACAAGCATTTTGAGACAAAATGCACATGCCTGGAATCCCAGCACAGTGGGAGACCAAAGCAGGATCACTTGAGGCCAGGAGTTCAAGACCAGCCAAGGCAACATATCAAGACCCTGTCTCTACAAAAAAAGTTTAAAAATTAGCAGGGCATGGTGACATGCACTTGTGGTCCCAGCTACTTGGGAAGCTGAAGCAGGAGGATTGCTTGGACCTGAGGTCAAGGCTGTAGTGAGCTGTGACCATGCCACTCTACTCCAGCCAGGACAAGAGAGTGAGACCCTGTCTCTAATAGTTTGAAATATATAGTTTGAAAATTTCATACATAGGAAAGTGGAAAGAATAGTGAACCTTCATATACTCATCATCTGGATGTTGTAGCTTGTTAACATTTTTTCATATCTGCTTTATCTTGTTTCTATTGAAATATTTTAAAGTAGTTTACAGATGTTAAGATATTTTACTTGTAATATTTCAATATTACATTTCTAAGAAATAAGGATATTTTCTCACAAAAACACAATGCCATTATCACATATTTATGATATCTTTCACTCTAAATTTTAAATTTGGCCAGATGTAGTGTCTCAGATCTGTAATACCAACACTTGGGAGGCCGAGGCAGGAGAATCACTTGAACCCAGGAGTTCAAGACCAGCCTAGGCAGCACAGTGAGACCCTGACCTATTAAAAAGTTTAAAATTTTTATGTAGTTAAAACTGTCAATATGTTTTAAAATTATACTTTAAGTTCTGAGGTACGTGTGCAGAACATGCAGGTTTGTTACATAATTATACACATGCCATGGTAGTTTGCTGCATCCAACACCCCATCACCTACATTAGGTATTTCTCCTAATGCTATCCCTTCCCCAACCCCCAATCCCTGGCAGGCCCCGATGTGTGATGTTCCCCTCCCTGTGTCCATGTGTTCTCCTTGTTCAACTCCCACTTATGAGTGAAAACATGCGGTGTTTGATTTTCTGTTCTCATGTTAGTTTACTGAGAATGATGGTTTCCAGCTTCATCCATGTCCCTGCAAAGGATATGAATTCATTCCTTTTTATGGCTGCATAGTATTCCATGGTATATATGTGCCACGTTTTCTTTATCCAGTCTATCATTGATGGGCATTTGGGTTGGTTCCAAGGCTTTGCTTATTGTGAACAGTGCCTCGATAAACATATGTGTACTTGTGTCTTTATAATAGAATGATTTATAATTATTTGGATGTATACCCAGTAATGGGATTGCTGGGTCAAATGGTATTTCCAGTTCTAGATCCTTGAGGAATTGCCACACTATATTCCATAACGGTTGAACTAATTTACACTCCCACTAACAGTGTAAAAGAATTCCTATTTCTCCACATCCGCTCCAGCATCTGTTGTTTCCTGACTTTTTAATGATCGCCATTCTAACTGGTGTGAGATAGTATTTCATTGTGGTTTTGATTTGCATTTCTCTAATGACCAGTGATGTTGAGCTTTTTTTCATATGTTTGTTGGCTGCTTTTGAGAAGTGTCTGTTCATATCCTTCGTCCACTTTTTGATGAGGTTGTTTGCTTTTTTTTTTTGTAAATTTGTTTAAGTTCTTTATAGATTCTGGATATTAGCCCTTTGTCAGATGGATAGATTGCAAAAATTTTCTCCCATTCTGTAGGTTGCCTGTTCACTCTAATGACAGTTTCTTTTGCTGTGCAGAAGCCCTTTAGTTTAATTAGATCCCATTTGTCTATTTTGGCTTTAGTTGCCACTGCTTTTGGTGTTTTAGTCATGAAGTCCTTGCCCATGTATATGTCCTGAATGGTATTATCTATGTTTTCTTCTAGGGTTTTAATGGTATTATGTCTTATGTTTAAATCTTTAATCCATCTTGAGTTAATTTTTGTATAAAGTGTAAGAATGGGGTCCAGTTTCAGTTTTCTGCATATGGCTAGCCAAAAACTGGCAATCTTTTATTATTTTGCATTGGCATCTGTTTTAGGGAGCTCTTTCTCATGCAGGGTTATAAAAACACTCAGGTATATTGTCATCTGTAACTTTTATAGTGTTATATTTTTTACATTTAGATCCTTAATCCATCTGGAGGTTATTCTCTCTGTATAGTGTGAGGTGGGGATCTCACCATTTATTGGATATTTGGGTAATTCATCCTTTACCACTATTGAAAAATTTATCCATAAATCTCTGTAAATTTGGCCACCTATCTTCTTATTCTCTTGCTTAAAATCCCTAAATCACTTTACATTATTCTTAGAATAAAATTCAAATTCCTTCTCTTGGCCTAAAAAGCCATAGCCTGCTTCTGAAATTCATCAGCCCCTCTGCCTTTAAGGGTTGTCCTCAGTCACATGGGATTCCCTCTGTCCAGACACTTCAGCTCATCCCAGCCTGAGTCTGCACTAACTTTGCACATACCGTTTCCTCTGCCTGGATGCTCCAGCCTTTGTCTGCCTGGCTCTGTGACTCCTGCAGCTTTCAGCTCAAAGGCTGTTTCTTCAGAGTCTTCCTCAGACCAGTCTGTCCAGAGTGCCCACCGCAGGCACTGCTGCATCATTCTTTATTATGCCAGGGCACTTCTCACTATTTTTAATGATTCTGCTTTTGTCTGTCACCCCTCACTAGCAGGAGATCTTCCAGGTCTGGTTCACTGCGCAGCCCCAGCTGCAGTAGACATTCAGTCGCAGTCCTGGGATAACTACATCTAATCCGTGCTTTCACATAGTTTACATAGGACAAGCCTATATAAATATTTACAATTTAAAAGTCGACTAAGTTAATGAAAAAATTTATAATAGCGCATGTGATATGCAGGTAGGTAAAGAATTACGAAAGTGGTGTACCCCAAAATAACTGAAGTTTGGAGTTCAGTGGGATGAATTATTGAATCAAAGACATCCTTTTAGGACAGGTACCGTGGCTCACACCAGTAATCCCAGCACTTCGGGAGGCCAAGGTGGGTGGATCACCCAAAGTCAGGAAAAGTCAAAAAGTAGCTGGGTGTGGTGGTGAGCGCCTGTAATCCCAGCTACTCAAGAGGCTGAGGAAAGAGAATTGCTTGAACCCAGGAGGTGGAGGTTGCAGTGAGCCAAGATTGTGCCACTGCATTTCAGCCTGGGTGACAGAGTGAAACTGTCTGTTAAAAAAAAAAAAAATCCTTCTACAATTTTGATAGAGGTTGCCAAATTGTACTGAGAAAAGCTTATAGCAATTTATCTTCCCAATGAGAGTCAATCAGAGCATTTGTCTCCCTGCACCCTGGCCAGCACTAGATTCCTTTAGACTTTCTACAGCCCTACAAAATATAAAAATCAAGAAACAAAAACCACGCAAAAACAAAGAATATCTCATTGGTGTTCAAAGTTGTAGTTCTTTATGTTTGAGTGTAGTTGCATATGATCTCATGATCGTTTTATATGTATATTTTCTTTTTCTTTTTTTTTTTTTTTTTTTTTAAGGAGGCTTGCTCTGTCCCAGGCTAGAGCACAGTGGTGTCATCTTGGCTCACTGCAACTTCTGCCTCCCGGGTTCAAGCTGTTCTCCTGCCTCAGCCTCCTGAGTAGCTGGGATTACAGGCGTGTACCACCACGCCCATCTAATTTTTGTATTTTTAGTAGAGATGGGGTTTCACCATATTGGCCAGGCTGATCTCAAACTCCTGACCTCGTGATCCACCTGCCTTCACCTCCCAAAGTGCTGCGATTACAGTTATATGTATATTTTCTTAACCACTTGTTCATGTCCTTTGTCCGTCTTTCTATTTGGTTGTTTTTCTAATGATTTGTACAACTTGTTTTTTGAAAAAGCTCTCTCTGTTAGACATGTTCTAAGTATTTTTCCTAGTTTTGATCTTGCATATGGCTAGGCAGTGATTTTTGTCAAATTTGTCCTCTATGATTTTTAGGTTTTGTGTCAGTCTTAGAAAAATTTTCCCTGTTGTAATGTATTTATTAATAGGTATCTCCAGTATGTATGCATATCTCCTGTGGTTTTTTTTTTTTCTTTACACCACTTTTCAGCAGGAAATCACCTGTGTTTTATTCTAGCATTTTTGTGATTTTACTTTTTTACTTTGAGTTTTTAATCATCTAATATTCATTTTAATATGAAAAATAAGGTGGGAAATCCAGCTTTTTTCAGTCTCCCTCCCCCAGTGTGGGGAGCTAGTGACTAAGAGCAGTTGCTAAAAAACTCCACCTTTTCCTTATGGGTTTGCAATGCCACCTTCACCATATACTCAATTTCCATATGCGTTTATATCTATTTATGGACTGTATGCTTTTGGTTTTTCTATGCCTTTTTTGCTGCTTTAATTATTATAGAGTTAAAAATGTTTTCACATTTGAGAAGGTTAGTTCCTTATTTTAAATTTTTTGGCTACTCATACATGTTTAGCTTTTTAAAAGAATTTGCATTATGGCTGCAGGGTAAAGAGAGGCAAAGGTAGCTAAGGATTGACCAGATGGAAGTTTCTTGCAGCAATCCGGGACAGCAATGGTGGAAGATTAATGGGGTATGATGGGTCACCCATCCCACTTGATGTGGTTTGGCTGTGTATCCACTCAAATCTCATCTTGAGTTGTAGCTCCCATAAATCCCATGTGTTATGGGAGGAACCAGGTGGGAGGTAATTTAATCATGGGGGTGGGTCTTTCTCATGCTGTTCTCCTGACAGTGAATAAGTCTTGCAAGATCTGATGGTTTTATAAAGGGGAGTTCCTACACAAGCTCTCCTGCCTGCTGCCATGTAAGACATGACTCTGCTTCTCATTTGCCTTCAGCCATGATTGTGAGGCCTCCCCAGCCATGTGGAACTGTGAGTCAATTAAACATCTTTCATTTATACATTACCCAGTCTCTGTATGTCTTTATAAGCAGCGTGAGAAAAGATTAATACATCACTGAATTCCAAACCTCAGTCATTTTCAGGTATACCACTTTTATACTTTTGGATATACATGTTACCTACATTATTATTAATTTTTTAATTAATTCAGTCCACTTCTAAATTTCAAATACCTGTATTAGGCTTGTCCTATGCAATACATCTGAAAGCATGGGCTAGATGTCGTAGTTCTATTTTTCTAACATATTAAACTGAATAGATTAGCAATTAAAATAAACATTGTTTTCTCACATAATATCTAAAATTATTTGTGCTACCAGCACACCGGTCACGGCAAACTGGTCATCAGTTCTCTACTTAAAAGTGGGCCTGGGCTGGTGGGTAATGTCTATTGTTTGATCAGGATGCTGGCTACACAGGTAGGTTGTTTGTGAAAATCATCAAGGCGTTCACTTGTATGACATATGCACGATTCTATGTAACTACTATAATCCAACAAAAAGTTTTAAAAGCTTTAAAAAGTTTAAAAAGCTGGCCTGGCACAGTAGCTCACATCTGTAATCCTAGCACTTTGGGAGGCTGATGCGGGAGGATTGTTTGAGGCCAAGAGTTCAAGACCAACCTGGCCAACACAGCAAGATCCCATCTCTATTTTTTGAAATAAATTATTAAAAAAAAAAAAGCATAGCTGTATTATTTTGTGCTGATTACTGGTAAGGAGAGTTGTTACGAGCATCCTTACATAGGTTATACAAGGAAATAGACTAATGAAATGAGTAATAGCACATGAATTTAAGACATTGGTAGCAGTTCTCTTCTTTAGGGTTCTGATGCTTATGCACTCTTAGTTCTGATGTCTCACAAATACCTGAAAAGGGCCACAGGTCTGAAACGGACCACAGATGATATCACAGGCCAGTTGTAACATTCATGAGATGGTAAGATGTTGGTGAATTTATCTGTAGGACAGAACTAGACAATAATGTCAAAGTCCAAAGCCTCAGTATCCTTATCTCTTTCTTAGTCTTTATTAAAGGTTCACAGAAATAAATGGAACATGCCATCCTAACCTCACAGAGATCAAATTAAGCAGTGAATTTGCAGAGAAATCAAATATCTCCTACTGATCTGTCACAAACACTTATTCAGATGCAGGTAAACACACACCACACTCTTTTTTTACCCTAAGGGGATTCTGGCTTTGCGACTTCTAAATTCTCTACTTTTAGGGTTTACCTCTCACTGGGAACCCTTGGCACACATATTTAGGTTATGAAATTTTTGATACTAAAATCTCACTGCCAAATAGAAGCTACTGCTTCCCAACATGGAGATTCAAATACCTCGTATTTTTTGTTCTTTTAAAAACATAAAATAATCCAGTTTCCTTCTGTAGGTAGCCATGGAGACGAAGTACAAGCATTGCAGTGACTAATACTAAAAATGATAGCATTCTTCAAGGACATCTATTAATATGCTTCTCATTAAAAAACAGTAAAACTAGCTACCTTAAAATTTATTGTCAGATTTTCACTTGTGAGTCCCCCTGGCTTCCCGATTGTTTGGGGGCCAATTGAATAGGAAACACTCATGGACAAAGAAGCAGATGATTGCTTGTCAGAGGAAAACTTGAAGTCTTGTTTCCTCCAGTGTCTCTCAAAGACCTACTCATTTCCCATTTCTACCATGTGGGTCTCCTTCCAGGGGGTGCCTCTACATTTCAATCTGGAACACTGTTTCTTATACCTAATCTCCCCAGCACTGGAAGCCTGAGTGTGAGTGTGTCATTCCTAACCTTTAAAAAGCTTCTCTCTCCATCCAAGAGTCCCCGGGAGACCTTCCTGAGATGGCACACTTACTCTCAATGTATACTTTTAGGCCAACCCATTTGCATAATCTGCTTTCTGGAAAGCATTTGGAATCTTAGGCCAATTAAATTTCACCTCAAGTGTCTCAAAATCTAATTGGTCAGGGCTGCCAGCTTCTTTTGTTGTTCCCCCTGCAAAAAGCAATATAACCCTTTCTGCCAGTGTAATGTGTTTAAAGCACTGCTGAGGTAGGGATTAGCATGAGGCTTCCAATTGCAGCTTCAGAGATCCTGGTGCCAGGTGATGTAATTCTACCAACTGAGTCTCAAATGGGGGGGTCAGGACATGACCCACAGAGTGGAGCATCTGCCAGTGAAAACCTGCACTGGCTATTTAAAGAGCTCCCTGGTGAGGAAGGACTCAGGGCTGGAGGACAGAACAAGGTGGCCACGAAGTCCGGCTCTGGGCTAGTCTTTGCAAATGGAGCTCAGGGTGCTGGAGGTGAGGACAGGGCAGGGATGACGGGCCAACCATTCACAAGGTGACAGAGGGTGCGGGCAGCAGGAAGGCAGAATACAAGAGGAAGTAGGGCCCCACCTGGGCAAAGGAGTCTTTATTTTCTTCTATCACAACTTGACACGGCCACATGGCATCAGCCTGGCGTATCATAATTGTGCTTACATATAGTGGAGCACATTTGTTATCTTCTCACCTTTCACATTTGCAATCTGATAAGAGACAAAGAGACTTTAAAAAATTGTGAATTTTAGCTGTTATTTTAGATTGTCCAAATGTTCCTTCCTCACCCGGTTAGTAGTATCATAAAACATGGATTTCTAGCTTTGGAGAGGAGGCAAGGGTGTGATCAAGATGTGATATACTTTTCTAAACTGTATTTCAATCTTTATATTATTTTAGGACCTGTATTCTCAATCACATGGTCTCAGTTTTACAACTTGATATGATTCCTTATACCTGATTCAGTGCAGAGCTTTGTCTCCTTCCAAAATTTCATCTCACAGAAGCATGTTCTCTTAGATTGAGTTCTCCCAGAAGCAGTCTGAGTCGAGGATTCAGATATAAGACGTTTATTAAGGAAAGGCTCGCAGGTGCAGCAGAAAATAAATGGGAGGAGGATAGGCAAAGGGATTATGCCCACCAAGGGCGTGATTTCATGTAAAGTCCCAGCCTTAGCCTGATCTCAAGGAAAGGAGTTCTAGAGCATAAATTATGCCTCAAAGAACGTCCTTCCTTGAGCAAGGGAGCTGGGCTTTTGACTCGTAGCCCAGTCAATCAGTGGCCTTGGCCAAGGAGAGTGGGAGGTGGGGTGGCCACAGGGACACAGAACTCCCAGAACCCTGCTGGCTCTCCATATGGGCTGACTGGCTCTAATACCAGGTCACAGGTGCCAGCCTTTAACCATAAAGCACTTAATTGGGATGGGCACACAGAGCTAGCACGAGACTCCAGGGGATCTGGGAGGCCACCAACAGTGCTGCTGGCATGGCACGGCACCTCCAATACTACCCTGCACATTGCCCAGCACCAGTTATGGGTCTTTCATTACATTTTGCTGCAAGAGAAAATTAATAATATCTTTCGACAGTCCTGGTTTTGGCTTTTCATCATCCAAAGATGTACTTCCTTCCTCCAGTGGGTAGAAGTGGGTGTCCCTGGAATGCCTCTGTAAGACAGAGCAGCCGTCCCAGTTGAAGATGACTCGGGCCATTTGAAAACTGCGGAGGACATACCTTTGGCTCTCCTGGTCTCTTAGTTGAGTGATTTTCTGAGACAGGCACTTGGAGACAGATGCAGAGAGTGGGTTTGCAGAGCCTGGCTGCGGATGGCCAAACATTTCATAGAATCTATCCAGGGATTTCCGAAGGCCATTGTCTTCTTCCTTCTCTGATTGGCCTTTCACAGTAGGGTCAAGCCAGAAGTTCTCAGAGGCCCAAGAGTTATTTTGTTCTGTATTTAGGTTACTGGTGTCTGCAAGACAAAACACATTCCAATACTCAAACATACTCAAACAAGCAATGAAAAATATCAGAAAGCAAGTCAAGAGCAGATGATGTCTATTTTCAGTTCAACATGCTCACTGCTCCTGAGTAACTGGCAATGCGAAATATCAGCTGATTTCAGAATCTATTTTCACCATCCTGGGGTTATGCCACTTGCTGGCTCACAACAAGACCATCTTACTTGCGTGATGGATTTTTAACCTGATTTCCCTGTGTAGAAATTCAGGGTGCCTGTGAACTTGGATGGAAAAAATATACATATATATTTATTTATTTTCACTAACCATAACCCGAAATTACGCATTTCCTCCCATAATGAATGTAGGCAGCAAATCACAGTATTAATAGCAAAACTCGTAACTTTGTCACCAATAGATCTCAGCTGCTACGGGAAAAACTTGAGATTATAATGCCCACCCTCAAACTGGGAAGGTGCTGAAAGACCAAAGAATAACTTGGACAAGTCCAGCTTGATGAGTAGATGAGTTTATTAGGACTTATGAACAGGACACTCCTGGATGCTAGCAGGGTAGCTCTAGAGATCCGTGCGTGTGCACGATGGGACTGTTTTCCTTGGTAGGTTCTCAAATTCTCTCCGGGATGTCTGGGTTCTCAAGGACACCTGCTCCTCAGCAGGGCACTATGGCTTTGGCTCACTGCCCAGCCTTGAGGGTTCAAGGAGCAGACATTCACTCTTAAGTAACCTGGTGGGTGACCCTTCCCACTATAACAACTATTTTCACATCATATTATAGTATGTCGAAGGTGTTTACAAATTATTTATGCTATCACTATGCTATGGACTGAATTGTGTTCCTACAAAATTCACATGTTGAAGCTGTAACCCCTAACATGACTATATTTGGAGAGAGGGCTTTTTGGGAGGTAATTCAAATTAAATGAGGCATATAGGTAGGATCTTAATCTGATAGGATTGGTAACCTTATGAGAGGAAGTGACACACAGTGAGAGGGCGGTTGTCTGCAAGGCAGGAAAGGAGCCCTCACCAGAAGCTGACCAGGTAGGCATCCTGCTCTTGGACCTCCATGCCTGACCCTGATATAAGCTTTTATAAATCACTAGCTTTGACATTTCCCTGCCCCAGAAAACTCAACCAGTAGCTATAATAAATATAGCTGTACTTGCCAATGCTGAAGGAGGGTGCATGGTGCAGTGGGTGGAGCTTTAGGAAAGGAGGTGGGATTTCAGTTTGGGCCCTAGTTCTGCTACTAGCTGGAAACGACACCTTGGACAAGTCATACAACATTTCTGTGCTTCAACTTTCTCAACTTTCAAAATGAGGGTTTTACTCAATAATCTCTCTTCTGGAATATCTATGATAATATAAAGAGAAATAGATTATCCAAAAGCATCAGCACATCCTAAAGGAATGCGGACATCACGAAGAAAGAAAGAAGAAACAAAACTAAAAAGTGAAAAAAAAGAATGTGGACATGTGTTCTTTGAGTCACAAGCAGGCCTACACATGGACAAGCATTCATGATTCAACACATATTTATACAGAACTCATATTCAGGCAGCTCAGTACAAGTTGTTGAAGATATACAGATGGACGTTGGAGACCATGTCCCTCATCTAAGGTACTTGGAACCTAAGTAGGAAGAAAGGACATCATTACAGACATTAAACAGGTGAAATATAGGATTTACACAGATATGAAATGATATAGTGACATTAACTGAGACAGTGTGGACTCAGTGGACAGTGCAGTGCAAGGGTAGCAGAATGAGTGCATGCTCCTCTTCGGAGGAGGTGACCTGCAATCTTATTCTGAAAGGACCATGGCAATAGAGAAGCAGGTTGATGAGCAAAGTCCAAGTGGTGAGAAGAAATAGAAACTAAATGTCTCTGTGGCTAGTTCCAGTTCTCCTCCTCTGCCCGCTGGCCTTTCTTCAGCAGCCTGAGGCCCAGCCTATAAGTTCGAGGAGAGAGAGAACTCAAGAGTGGCCAGGGGAACCCAAAACAGAGATCATGCTTTATAAAGAATTTGTAGGACGGTATTTCCACTACACTAGTTTCCAGAAAGCTTAAAGCTATGTCCCAGCCAGACTCAGTGGCTCTTGCCTGTAATCCCAGCACTTTGGGAGGCTGAGGTGGGTGGATCACGAGGTCAAGAGATCGAGACGATCCTGGCCAACATGGTGAAACCCCGTCTCTACTAAAAATATAAAAATTAGCCAGGCGTGGTGGCACACGCCTGTAGTCCCAGCTACTCGGGAGGCTGAGGCAGGAGAATCGGTTGAACCTGGGAGGCGGAGGTTGCAGTGAGCCGAGATCGCGCCACTGCACTCCTGGCAACAGAGCAAGACTCCATCTCAAACAAGATAAGACAAGACAAAACAACAACATCAAAAAAACCCAACAACACAAAAATATGTCCCAGGCCCCTCATTATTTTTTAAGAAATAGTGAAGAACGTTTCCTTGGCCCTGCTATGCCCAGAGCTTCTGCCCAAGTTCCTCCCAACCACCCTGTCACTGGACTGAAGCCTCCAGGATGGGTGGAAGGGGAGGGAGGCAGATGCTGGTCTCTTTCTGGTCCTGATGGCATAGAAGCAGCAGGGGAGTTCTTGGCCTGTACTCTTCACAGGTGTAAGTTTGTGAAAACCAAGGAAGGACTGAGCTACTGTCTCAGACGGAAGGAGGCTAAAAACAGCCATGACAGTCAAACACACACAAAAATGTTTAAACCTCATCTTTTCACTGTAAAGCACATTACTGGGGCAACTGGAGAGCTGTGAATAGGGTCTGAGGATTAGACGGTAGTGATGGATCATGTTAATTTCTTGATTTTGATGGTTTTATTGTTTTAGAAGAGACTGTCGTTGTTTGTAGAAAAATCAGGAGTGGTGGCCTTCAAGCGAGCAAATCTCAAATAATTCATGAAAAAGGGCTTTTGGTTTTACAAAATTGTGAAAAAATTTAAAGAAACCTCTGGAGGGATAGATGTTAAAATTTCCTTTGGTGGCTTACTTTACTATCAAGCAACCAAATAAAAAGTCTTAGCTTGGGTAGTTGCCTAACAAATGATGTTGCTGTTAGAAAGCTGGAGATGGGAGAGGGAATAGGGTCCCATGATGGCAGGATGAGGGGTCCCTTCCCCGCTTCTTCCCCGAAGAAGACCTTGTTCTGGGAAGGGGCTGGGGGGGGGGTAGTGGCTAGAAGACAGAAGCTGGGAAGGGCTAATGAGATGGGTGGGAGAGAGCAGGATATCCCCAGCAGTAACACTGGGAAAGTTGAATCCCCAAAACTGTCCACTTATACAGAAAACTCCAAACAACATGGCACATACTTGGTAAGTAAATAGTCAATGTGCTTTGATATGCAGGATTTTAAATTTTCATCTGTGTTTCATTTAATTTTAAAGTTTTGAAGAGTCCAGTGTCCACAAAAGAGTCTAAAAGCTAGCTGTCTCCTATATTTTTCATGCACATGTCAGGCAGTCTGCCAGCCGTCTTCAGAGAAACAACTCTTCCCCTTCAGAAGACCAATGACATACGGGCTGAGTCATTTACTATGTCAGTTCTTTTGAACGCTGCCTGCAGTCCATTTCAGTCTTTGATTTCCTTTTAAAATTTGTTGTAATGCAAACTATAAAGCCTCCTCTCTAATCATGAGGCTGTTATAGCTTTTTGGATGTCACCATTTCTTTGCCAGCAAATGAAGCTAACTGCTTTTCCTTTCCTGATGTGCCCATGTGTGGAAAGAATGATGGGTACTAGGTCAGTTCCTGCTCAGTGGTGCATTCTCGCAGCTATGTTCAAACCCCACCTTATTCTGTTAATATATCCCAGCTTTGTAGAACTATCAAAAGGGGATAGCAATGTCTCCAAGGAGATTCTAGGGATCTTTTTGTGTCAGGGATTGCAAAGTGCTACTTGCATTTAGTAAGTGGAGTCAAGGATGTAAACATTCTATAGTGTACAGGACAAAGAAATGGTCCTTCCCCCAAATATCAATTATGTCTCCCCACTCCTGACCCCTCCCTTGGCTCAAAGGATGGATCTTGAAAGGAGTGGGAACTCAATGTTGAATCCCATTGCATTGTAATATGTTGATTTGCCTTGAGCTCCCTAAGAGGTTTTTGCTACCAGCCGGGAGCGGTGGCTCACGCCTATAATCCCAACACTTTAGGAGGCTGAGGTGGGCAGATCACCTGAGGCCGGGAGTTCGAGACCAGCCTGACCAACATGGAAAAACCCTGTCTCTACTAAAAATACCATATTAGCTGGGCGTGGTGGTACATGCCTTTAATCCCAGCTACATGGGAGACTGAGGCAGGGGAATCACTTGAACCCAGGAGGTGGAGGTTGTGGTGAGCCAAGATCGTGCCATTGCACTCCAGCTTGGGCAACAAGAGCAAAACTCAGTCTCAAAAAAAAAAAGAGACTTTTGCTGTTGGTACCCATTCCCTGCACAACACCCTTCTTGCTAGTACCTATTATGCATTTTCCCTTCTCAGACCTTGAGATGGCTTTTTTTCCCTTCAACAATGTTTGAGGGGGAAAAGCCATTGGCACTGGTCCCAATGACTTTGGAATTATTTAAATTGAACAAAACTACCCTTTTTATTTCAATATATTTTCCATCATGAATAGGATTTCTTTAAAACTTTACAAGAAGAAAAGGAGGAGGGCAGGGCTTGATATCACAATGCTTTTGCATGCATCCCATTGTTAAATTTTCTCTTTGCCAACAAGAAAAGAGATAACATACAGATATTTCAGATTCCCTTTGTTTTTTTGAGACGTGGTCTCACTCTGTCACCCAAGCTGGAGTGCAGTGGCATGATCTCAGCTCACTGCAGCTTCTCACCTCCTGGGCTCAAATGAACCTCTCACCTCAGCCTCCCGAGTAGCTGGGACTACAGGTGCATGCCACCACGCCTGGCTAATTTTTTATATTTTTGATAGAGATGGGGTTTTGCCATGTTGGCCAGGCTGGTCTC